AGCACAAAACCATCATCTCCGAAACCATCCACAACCTCATCACCTCAGGTGACCTTCCACCCACAGCCTCCAACCTCATTGTCCCCCAACCCCGTACCGCCCGCTTCTATCTGCTTCCCAAAATCCACAAACCTGACTGCCCTGGTCGACCCATTGTCTCCACCTGCTCCTGCCCCACCAAACTTATCTCCACCTATCTCAAATCCATTCTCTCACCCTTGGTCCAGGAACTCCCTACCTACGTCCGTGACACCTCCCACGCCCTCCATCTCCTCCAGAACTTCCAATTCCCCGGTCCCCAACACCTCATCTTTACCATGGATGTCCAGTCCCTATACACCTGCATTCCCCATACAGATGGCCTAAAAGCCCTCCGCTTCTTCCTGTCCCGCAGGCCCGACCAGTCCCCCTCCACTGACACCCTCATCCGCTTAGCTGAACTTGTCCTCACCCTCAACAACTTCTCTTTCAATTCCTCCCACTTCCTACAGACAAAGGGGGTGGCCATGGGTACCCGCATGGGCCCAAGCTATGCCTGCCTCTTTGTAGGTTACGTGGAACAATCCCTCTTCCGTACTTACACTGGCCCTAAACCCCACCTCTTCCTCCATTACATTGATGACTGTATCGGTGCTGCCTTGTGCTCCCACGAGGAGCTTGAACAGTTCATCCACTTCACCAACACCTTCCACCCCAACCTTAAGTTCAACTGGACCATCTCCAATACCTCTCTCTCCTTCCTGGACACCTCCGTCTCCATCTCTGGCTACCACCTAGAAACCGATATCCATTTTAGCCCATTTCTGAAGAAGGGTCTAGGCCTGAAACGTCAGCCTTCCTGCTCCTCTGATGCTGCTTGGCCTGCTGTGTTCATCCAGCTCTACACCTTGTTATCAAGGATATGAGGGAGAGAGGAGTAGGAGAATTTGATAGTAGACTGGGTTGAATTAAGACAGTCTACATCTGTGAGTAAATTCCATCTAATATTAAAGGATCGTACAACTATCTTGTGTCATTGAGGTTTAGGGATGTTATGACAATGATTGGGCCAGCTTATTACATCACTGAAGGCAAGTGAATGTGTTTGTTCCTATGTTTCACAGTACAACCAAACTGAGTGATTAATTATGGGGAGGTAGTGCCTACCAGATGAAATCTCCTCTTGTGTGAATAGTTGAGGGAAGTCATATGTGTGGTTGTACTGTCTACTCATCCTCTTAGCTGGGCAGCATGCACTAGCTAAGCAAACTGTGTGAAAAGAAGGTCTCGAAAGGTCTAGACATATCGTCTCAGACCTTCCACTCTGCGGATCATTCGAGAACAGATGTTTCATTGAGGAATGTGTCGGGATCTTGCAGAAGATCAGGTATGCTGACTGCATACAAATTGTGTGTGAAGTTTGACCATCCAGTGGACAGTTCTCCTGCTTCCTGGAATCCTCCAGGAAAGTCTCTGGCTCTGAGCTATTAAGGTTTCCCATGGTTCTTACTGAGGAAAAATCCTCACTTGAATGCAAGATAACTACATATCCAAACTCGATCACTCTCGATGGCCTCCGCTCTCTCCAAATCTAACTGACTATGTTGTCCAACTGTTATCTGCTCCTTCACCACTTAGCTTGCCCAATTATGCATCCACATGTTGCACCTTTAAATACTTGACAGAAAACAGCAGACATTGCAATAAATAGGGATATTGGCTCCTATGCTGATTCTCTTCGCTGTTCGCTCTGTGGATTTATGCACTGAGAGAGTTTGTCAGGGTTCTCCGTGAATTGTTACAGTGCAGAAGGAGGCTATTCAGCCCATTGTGCCTGCACCCTCCTGCATTTTAACTGCTTCATTGTGTTGCCTTTTCCCAGTAACCCTGAACATTGGTTCTGTTCAGAGAGTCATGTAATGTCTACTTGAATGTCTCTTGAACCTGCAACCACCACAGTTCCAGGCAGTGCAGTTCAGACTCTAACTGCACACTGTGTGAAATGTTTTTTTCTCTTGTTACGTTTGTTTCTTTTGCAAATCACTACAAACCTGTGCTGTCTCATTCTCAATCCTTTTATGAGCAGAAACAGTTTCTCGCTGCCTACTCTGTCCATACCTCCATGATTTTGGAAGTTCTATCAAATCTCCTTTTAGCCTTCTTTCCAAGGAAAACAATCTCACCTTCTCTGATCTATCTTCATAACTGAACTTTCTCACCCATTTTTGTAAATCTCTTATGCCATGTCTCCACATCTTTCCTGAAACTAAACTGTACACAGTAGTCCAGTTGAGGCCTAAAATGTTCCCTGTACACCTATGATCCAGATTATTACATATCAGGAAAAACAAAGGCTTCGATATCAACCCTTAAGAACTCCACAAAACCTTCATACAGCCCAAAACCTTTCCATTAACCAATACCGTCTAGTCATTCAGCCTATGTTGCAACTGTCCATTTTGTGACATGAACTCCAATCTTGCTCATAAGTCTCCACATGCCTTTTGGAAGTCCGTATTTAGCATGTCAGCAGCATCGTCCTCATCATTCTGCATTGGAAGGTTAACCAAAAACGTTGTATCTGTCTGATCAGTGTTGGACACAGCAGCTGTGATGCTGCTGGAAAGATTTGAGCATGCTGTTCTCCTTTTTAAAAAGTATTGAAGATAATAATTTAGGTTCTGCTCGTTCACGTTTGGCTAATGATTATTGCATGCTCCAATGTTACATCATGAAGATGTGATGGCTAGGATGTTTTTTTTATATATGTAAATGGTTTTGTTTGGATAAGGCCAAGAAATTCAACCTGCTATCTGCTACCTGGTAACCTCCACTTACCATTAACAATTGGCAATCGTTCATTTAGTACTTGGACTAACTTATGTTGTGTATTTTACAGATTTAATAGTTTCAATTCTGAAACCAAGAGACCAATGCATAGAGAGTGTGGCTTTATCAGGATCAAACCTGGCACCAACAAGGTGGCATTCATCAGTGCCCAAAATACAGGTACAGTACCATCTGCAAAAGCTGTTCATGTGTGGTTGGCATAGGGGACTCAAGTATTTTAGCTGGAACGTGTAATTCAGTTGGCAAGTGCAGGAGAGTTCCGTACCTTTTTTTGTTATCGAATAATTGCTTCTCCATAGCTTGGAGAGCTAGATGTGGAAATATATTGCATAACCTCCAAGTATCTCTAAACTGAACAAGGCCACTGAGAATTGTAACAGTTCAAAGCTTATTCTGTACCCACAAGGGCACAGTCCAGAGTTGCTTAGTGAAAAGTATTAGATGAATAAGAAAACAGAAGTTATGAAGAAGATGAAATATGTGCTTTATGATAGGTGTCTGGTAGCAAAAACTAATTGAGAACCAAGAGAAAAACACAAGGTTCAGAGGGGAGGTTGAGGGAGGTGGTTTAGTGGTAATGTGGAGTGTTAATCTAGAACCCCAGGCTGACATTCTAGGATTATGGGTTCAAATCCCACTATGGCAGATAGTGAAATCCTGGAGTATTGTGTGCAGTTTTGATCTCCATATCTGAGGATTGATGTTCTTGCTGTAGCGGGATTGCAAAGAAAGTTTGCCACTAATGCCTAGCATGGGGGTACTGATGTCGAGGGAGAAACTGGCTAGGTTAGAACTATATTCGCTAGAGTTCAGAGGAATGAGCAGAAATGTCAGAGAAACCTTTAAAATTCTAACAAGATTAGACAGGGAAATTGCAGGAAGGATGTTATCAATGAGTGGGGAGTCTGAACGGGGGTCACAATTTATGGATAAGTGGTAGGCCGTTTGAGACAGAGATGAGAAATTTCTTCACCCAGAAAGCAGTGAGCCTGTGGAATTCACTGCCATGGGAAATTGTTGAGACCAAAACATTGAAGGCTATCAAGAAAAATAAAAGTATAGTTCAGAGGACTAAAGAGGTCAAAGGATATGGTGAGAAAGCAGGAACACGGTTTTGCGTCATGATTACCAATGATCACATTGAATGGTGGAGCAGGCTCGAATGGCTGAATGGCCTATTCCTACTCCTGTTTTCTATGTTCCTGTCTGGGTATGCAGATTTCACACTCTGGGTAAGAAGTAGAGGGCAATGAGAGGAGGAATTTTATTTTGTTTGCATTTAGTGGCAATGACGTGGAGTGCTTTTTTTTTCATTTGTTCATGGAATGTGGGCATCACTAACTAGGCCAGCATTTATTGCCCAGAGGGCATTTCCGAGTTAACCACATTGCTGTGATTTTGGATTTAAATGTAGGCCAGACCATATAAGGATGGCAGAGTTTTTTTCCCCTAAAGGACATTAGAGAACCAGATGAGTTTTTACGATAATTGACAGTGATTGTATGGTCATTTGACCAGTTTTTAATTCCAGATTTTTATTCAAATGTCACAATCTGCCATGGTGGGATTTAACCCATGTCCCAGTGCATTGGCCTGGGTCTCTGAATTACTAGTCCAGTGATATTAACAGTACAACACTGCCTCCCTAGCTCCATGCCTGCGGGGTGGTGGAAGCAGAGACAATCGGTGATTTCTAAAACAGTTTTGCAGATACTCGAAAATACATTTGCAGAGCTGTGAGGGTAGAATAGGGAAATAGAACTGATTGCATTATTCGAGAGAGTCAGTGTGGACTAGAGGTGGTGAATGGTTCCTGTACGGGTTACACTGCACAGAACGTGTGTGAGCAAGATCAGTATTATTTGAAGTTGATCTTCGTCCTTTTAGGGAAGGATTTATGTTAACTGTGCTCACGCCCTGCTGTCACATGTGACGGCAAGGGCACATTATTGCCATTCTCTCAATAATTTCCTTGTCTTGCCGACAGCTGTCAGAACCTCAATGGTGAGATCTTAACCTTATAAGGATCAATAGAGTTGTGAACTTCTATCCTAGTTATTTTGACTTATTTTCCTTGCTAACATTGTGGAATGCTGCACTATATAATTCAAAAGAAGAATTATATTCAGAATGCCTCTTTTCTGCTAGTATCAGCACAATTCTCTATTGCTGTTGTGGGTTCATGTCAAGCCCAGACATGATGCATAAAAAGTCTCTGCCATGAAAAAGTCTTAATTTAAATAGGTTCAAAGCAATTTTAGTGCTTGTTCAGCACAGACTAGCAGATTTGTTTACAGGGGCTATCAGTGGTGACTGTAATGTAACACATAAAGTCTGAGGAGCACTTCTAAAGCTGAGTTTCAGGAGTATCAGTGAAGTAATTAGGTGAGTGTTTAACTGCTCACTGGTGCTCCAGTGCAGGATGGGGGTTTACTCTGCATCTAACCTCTGCTGACAGAGGGTGAGTTGTGTGTGTGTGTTGTAAGATGAGGCCCACACTTGGCTGAATGTACATTAACAGGTTTTATTTAAGTGAACTATATCCCCAAGCATGGTAAAAGGGGCCATCATTCCAGAACCTTAAAGATGCAAGCACCTTTCACACATGCTTAGTAGCAATTCTTAAAGGTATAATTAACCTTTTACTGCACCATGTGTTTCATAAAAATATAAGCCATTCTCCCCATTGGCTATTTTCAAAGCAAAAAGAACCAATGCACTTTTCTTGCTGCCTGTACCAAACCAAAAGTTGGGTTCTGAAAGTCACTCTTCAGAAGATCAGCCAACATTCAGTTTGTGTGTTACCCTAAAGATTTCCCGCAACTCATCCCTCACACCCCGTCCACGCAATAAGAACCAAAAAAGAATCCCCCTCATCCTCACGTACCACCCCACCAACCTTCGGATCCAACGCATCATCCTCCAACACTTCCGCCATCTGCAATCCGACCCCACCACCAAAGACGTTTTCCCCTCCCCACCCTTATCTGCTTTCCGGAGGGACCACTCTCTCCATGACTCTCTTGTCCGCTCCACACACCCCTCCAGCCCCACCACACCCGGCACTTTTCCCTGCAACCGCAGGAAGTGCTACACCTGCCCCCATACCTCCTCCCTCACCCCCATCCCAGGCCCCAAGAAGACTTTCCACATCAAGCAGATGTTCACCTGCACATCTGCCAATGTGGTATACTGCATCCGCTGTACCCGTTGTGGCCTCCTCTACATCAGGGAAACCAAGCGGAGGCTTGGGGACCGCTTTGCAGAACACCTACGCTCAGTTCGCAATAAACAACTGCACCTCCCAGTCACGAACCATTTCAACTCCCCCTCCTATTCCTCAGACGACATGTCCATCCTGGGTCTCCTGCAGTGCCACAACGATGCCACCCGAAGGTTGCAGGAACAGCAACTCACATTCCACTTGGGAACCCTGCAGCCCAATGGTATCAATGTGGATTTCACAAGCTTCAAAATCTCCCCTCCCCCTACCGCATCCCAAAACCAGCCCAGCTCGTCCCCGCCTCCCTAACCTGTTCTTCCTCCCACTTATCCCCTCCTCCCACCTCAAGCCACACCCCCATCTCCTACCTACTAACCTCATCCTGCCCCCTTGACCTGTCCGTCCTCCCTGGACTGACCTATCTCCTCCCTACCTCCCCACCTACACTCACCTTTACTGGCTCCGGCCCCGCCTCTTCAACCTGTCTGTTTCCTCTCCACCTATCTTCTCCTCTATCCATCTTCTATCCGCCTCCCCCTCTCTCTCTATTTATTTCAGAACCCCTTTCCCCTCCCCCCATTTCTGATGAAGGGTCTAGGCCCGAAACGTCAGCCTTCCTGCTCCTATGATGCTGCTTGGCCTGCTGTGTTCATCCAGCTCTACACCTTGTTATCTCTTAATTCTTGCTGATGGTTCAATCCACAGGTGCCATCAACCTGCTGGTACCTCCCTCAAGCGCCCATTCCTCATGCTTACCTTAGTCCAAGTTTCAACAGGTTAATTAACCTTGGAGCATTTTACACCCAAGCATAAGTTTCCCCTCATCAAGCCTGTATACTTGAATATATTTTCCCAGGGATCCTTTACATTTCCCATGTCCAAAGCCTAGAATACTTCTGACAACCGATGATACTATGGCTATTCATGGTATGATTACATAGAAATGTGGCATAGAAACAAACCATTTGGCCCAACCAGTTGATGCTAGTTTCATGTTCCAGTTAAATCTCTCCCATTTGCCATTGTAACCATCTATTTCCCTGGTCGTGAGTTCCGCGTTTGTACTAGGGGCAAAGATACTATCACAGTTGAGATCAGTTATCTTATGCTAGGGGAAGCTAACCTGCAAGCTTCATGGAATGTGTGGCTTTGTTGTAGAGTCAAACAGCATGGAAACAGATCTTTCAGTCTAACTAGTCCACGCCAAACATAATTCCAAACTAAACAAGACCCATCTGCCTGCTCTTGACCCATATCCCTTCAAACCTTTCGTATTCATGTATCCATCCAAATGTCTTTTAAATGTTGTAATTGCATCTGCATCCACCACTTCATCAGGAAGTTCATTCCACATGCGAGTCACCCTCTATGTAAAAAAATTTTGCCTTTTATGTCTTTTTAAAATGTCTCTCACCTTAAAAAAATTTACCCCCAGACTCGAAATTCCTCATTTGAGGGAAAATAGAACTACCATCAACTCTACCTATACCTTTAATGATTTTATAAACTTCTATCAGGTCATCTCTCAACTTCCTACATTCCAGTGAAAAAAGTCCTAGTCTATTCAGCCTTTCCTTCCAGAATTGATCTTGCTTATATTGAGAAATGTGCTTGACACCATATAGAAAATGTAGAATGAATGATCCATATGTAAGGAATTGAGCTTTGAGGATAGATTAGAGAAACTTGCATTGCAATCTGGAAACTTGAATAATTGCATTGTAGGTAGTGGATTGTCCCGTTTAAATAAATAGCAGCTCTTTTGGGACACCAAAAGCAAAATGGGCCTACTGAAGATCGTGCTAGGGAGGGAATCGAGATAGTAAGCTAGGAAGCATGCAGAATTCACTGTCAAATTGGATCAGGTCAGAAGTCACACGACACCAGGTTATAGTCCAACAGGCTTATTTGAAATCACAAGCTTTCTGAGCACTGC